CTTCCACTTTGACATTAGAGTATTTTGTGTAGATCGTTGACAAAAAATTACAATTACATCCATTTTAATCTAACTTTGTAACAACAAAATGTGGAAAAATCAAGGGGTATGAATACTTTCTGAAGGCACTGTAATGACATTTGCATAGTACTAGCATTATGGGCTTCACGTGAGGTTCTTTTGTGTGATCACGTTGGTTAATTGCCCAAGACACAACAGTCCATAGCCCACACATGGGTCAAATAAGAGAAAGGACAGAATTGCAAAGCGTAATTGTTATTCTGCAGTAAACCATTGAATAATAATATTTAGGCATGGCACAACTATACCCTAATATATATATTTTAAATATTATCCTATATTTAGAATCAAAACAAATGCATCTCTTGACATTTAGCAAATGCTTTACCAAGTAAACAAAGCATAATTCCAAATCATGCACTCAAGGTTCTATTCTAAAATCCTGAGGCGTGCAAAGAAGCGACTTCAAGTGTATCCAGGTCCAATGAACTGGCGGCCCTAAGGTGCAGTTATAAATTTGATCGATCAATCCGTCACAAAGCTCTCCAAACAACTCTGCTGCAGCCTTTTGGTGACCCTCCCCGTCTCCACTCCAACACTGAAGCGGGTAACACACTGATTTCTCAGTGCCGAGACCGTCATTTCAGTTTCTAAACAAACTCAGGACAAATTTTGTTTAAAAATTATATATTCCCAAATGGCCTATAGGACTAATTACAACAGTAGTTTGTTAAATGTCCAGAAGCCTACACAGGTTGTTTTTTAATGACCCCTTAATCTAAAACAATTCATTTTTGTTCTGGAGTCTCATTTTCCCATTACAAAGTTTTCTGAATGGTAATGGCAGCTGTAAAAAAAATATATATATATAATTCAGTTAAAAAGAAAAATGTATCAGATTTGGCATTTGTGGTGGGTAAAACAGCATGTGACATGCTGAGGTTTCTCTCTTATAGCATTGTCGAGGAATCACCTCACAGTCACATTAACTAAAGAAAGTAGTAGCAGTTCTAATGTATAATTGGGTGAGTCTTGGACAAGCTATGATAGGCTATATGATATAAAGTAAGTAGGCTAATTCAAGGTTTAGCCTGAATTACAATCTCCCTCGCAGTGAATGCAAGATAAATAGACTCCGAGTGTATCACTGTTGGTGCACAGCTTCAGCAGTATGCCTATCACAGTTGATTGAAATGTCCACGCACAGTGTTGTAGTTGTTCAACAAAAGTTGCTCAATTAAAGGCCATGTGTTTCAAATGTGTATTTGGGTGTGTGCACGGGTAAAAGATGGTACTGTACTGGTTGAGGTCTGTTGCAAAATGGATATCTAATGTATATCATCTATCTTTATGGTTATTTCAACATATAGGTAAAACCTCAACACTCCCTCAACAATATAATGCATCATTACGTCCATGTAAAAAAATAATAATAATAGGCCTTTGGGTCAAATTTCGTCGATTGGATAACAATAAGACCATTTGGAGAGGCTCTCTGTTGAGACAAGGCTGGCCGAATGATGTGGAATTCCTCCACCTAAGTGGTCGAACATTCCTGAGGATGCAACGCTGTCAAATATTTCATTGGTGGACGTCATGGAAAAAGTACATGAATTAAACTACGAGGGGCAACTGGGAAGCGGTGACCTCGGATTGCCGTAAAATGACGACAAACACGATCCTCCAACAGTGACATTATGAGCGTAAATCTATATAATTGGAGTGAACCCTTTCCTCCCTCTTTACAATACGTCCATGTAACCAGTAGGCTGCCTAACATGGGTAAGGCGGTAAAGCATGTTATCTAAGAAGCTAAATACGGCCAATGTGACTTCAGCCAATGTTCTATAATAACTTCATTATACAATGTTCTGTGGAAAGAAATCAATAGAATTCAGAGGACACCATAACTCGTTTAAAACCACGCAGTAACAATAATTCGACTGACGGAAAATAGTCTATAATATCAACTGAGAGTCCAGAGGGACCATTAATAATTATGCGTAGCTGTCAACAGCTTTTTGCGGAGGGGTTTAACAACGCGCCAGTCATCGGCGCGTCCCCCTTCAACGATCAATGGAGCAACTCGCGTCCCACTGGTTTGGGTAAACATTTAGGGATCAATTAGCCGTGGACATTAGTTTTTCAAAGTGCATGTCAAAGACGAGTGGTAGGGTTAAAGTGTGTGAGAGGGCCATTCGGCGTGTGGACGGTCACGATGTGTTGAAACAAGGGCGTGATTCTCGGAATGAAGTCATCAACGGTAATTAAATGCAGGGGGAAAGAGAGGACGGGAGCGCGCCTGCCCCCTCTCTCTGCGCGCTGGGTGGTCCGCTCCCCTGATAAATGCGTGGGCCTCATTCCAAGCGAGCGCCCGGTGTAGGGACCGGTTAAAACAATACTACTACCTATATACATTTCTTTACTTGGGTTTCAAACTCAGCCGCAACAGCAAATCCCACCATTGTACCTCTCGCATGCCCTGTGTAGTTGACAACGGAGATTTGTATATTTTCATATTTGCTTTCCCCTTTGGCAAAAACATCACGAAGGAGCCAAGCCAACAACGAATTTACGGAGTTTTATTGTAACACAGGCTGTCCTTCAAATACATTTAGGCCTATACACGCTTCAGAACACCATCTTACGTTTTAATAGATAGGCCACATCAAAATGGACATGATTTTAGTTTTCGAAGTTTTATAAAATGAGTAGGCCTAAATAGCCCACAATATTCACGTGTAGACGCATATTTGCAGGACCACTACATTTATTTCTAGAATATTTTAATTCCAAAGACTGTTCAAAAATCTTAGTCAAGAAAAAGAAAAAACAGTAGCCTGTATAGCCTACTTTTATGAGACCCAAAACGTATTAAGACATTTAGTATTTACAATTTGCCAAAATATCTGTGACTGATTTGAGTTATTGCATATCCAATATGTGCATTAATTACACTATTGTAATCGAGCAATAGCGCATAATAAAATAGTCTAACAACACGGCAGACCAAAACAGCAGAACCACCGCGAGCTAGCCCGGGGAGTGAGGGTTGAGGGGCTGGGAGCTTGTGCGCTCTCCGGCGAACATTGAACAGTCCACTGTCAACAGATTTAGTCTATGGACCGGCGGCTCTCCACTACACACATACATATAGCCTACCGGTTCAAGGATTAAATGAATAGCCAGAAACTGTTTACATTTAGAATGGTGGATGAGGTGCAATGAAGCGCTTGGAGACCTATAGTAAAAAGTGCTGCTTAAAAACAATACATTTTCTAAATGTAGCCTAATTACTTATTTTGTTATTCTAATTTTCTAAATGATAAGCCTTGTCTATTGTCATGTTTATGAAAATGATGAGCCTAAGACAGTTCTTTGTTAACAAGGAATACCCTTCGAACTTTCAAAAAGCTAAATAAAGTAGGCCTATGTGCTACACATCGCTTAACTTTGTAACTCAGATTATATTTATTTCCTATTTTTCTGTGACACTATAGTCTGGTTAGGCTGCCCACCACATTACAATCAAATGCCTAATTAGACCTTAATATGGTGCCCGCGTCCTATCTAATTCGCACTTCTAACTGCACAACAGGTCTAGTAAATCTCGATTGGAACTAAATTGAGAAGACGGCCCGCAGCCAAATCGCTGTCTTGTTTTAACTGACAAAAGTTGAAAGTGACTTACCTTGATTCGAGCACCATTCTGAGGGGAGAGAGTTTGGTGGGCGTCGATCTGAAGTCCTCATCCGAGTTTCAGTGCACAGTGTTCGGCTAGGCTCAGGGCGCTCTTCCCCTCTGTTCTCCTGTGTGAACATAATTATACATGATTTGAAATCCCTTTTTGCATTTACGTTGAAAAGTTCTATCCATACAAAAGGAGCTGTCTAAAACGGACATAATGCATCAGATTGAGTATGAGCTGATCTAGCGGGGCTTTTTGCTTGATTTTTTATTTAAAGAAGGCCAGGGAAAATGTTTACATTTTGCTGTATAAACATCCTGCCCATGTTCCTGTCTATCTTTTAAAGAAATCAGCAGCGTGGTTTTGAATAGAGGCATTTTCTTTCAAATAAGCGTATTTTAAGCAACATTTTAAACATACTCCAAACTTTAATAAGTCAAAGTCAGTGAAATGTGCTATGGTGAGGTTGGTCTGCTGTACCTGACAACTGGAAAACCAGTGTTATATATCACGGTGGTTGTGCACACAAGCTTACTAAAAACATGCATTTTCAATAACTTTTTTTGAAGAAATATGTCGCTTCGAAAATAAAGACTTTTCAACGTTGCAAAGTTCTAGTATAGGCCTCTGTAGCCTGTTGCATTAGGCTTCCATTTATATTCTGAAAACAGATATTCAAGTAAGCTATGTCCTATATTTTAAAAATAATTCCTGTTTCATGCAAATAAAAAAAGGATACTTTATTGTTCAATAAAGTGTAATTTTGAGTGTTAAGAAAGATCCCTTCACTGATTCTGAGTTGGAAAAAAACTGCTCCCAGACAAACTAAAGCCAGGCAGATGTGCTCACACCACAGCCCATCACGATGGAGTGGGAGGGGACTGGGCGGGCCCCGCGCGCCAATGACGTCCTGATGGTCAAGAGCTCGAGCTAGCAAGGCGCTGATGGCAACGGATAAGTAAAAGGCGAGCTCCTCCGGACGCACGAGAACACACCGACTGAAGTTGAAGTAGCTCCCGTTGCTCCCCCATTTCAATTTGAACACTCACTACGGATTTTAGGGTTCACATTGGCTAAGGAATTTAGGCACCAAAAGGAAGAGCGCAATAACGCACGGTTTACAGAAATTCAGCTTTGCTTTTGACCGTGTGTAGTTCCACAGCATCGAGATTATTGGTAACCATCTTAAACCTTTCTTTGATTATTTATACGAAGTTTCTAGAACTACTTCAAAACGAGGACGTGGATATTTTTGTCAAACATTTTTGCCATTGCGCAGATAGGCTAACTAATGACGGCAGAGATCCAGCAGCCCCCAGCGCAGACTCCTGCCCAGAGCAGCCCGATGTCTGCCCCGGAGAAGCCCCACGGACAGACTACTGTGATGGAGACCGCCTCCTCCACCACCTAAAACCAAAAAGACCAACGCAGGGATCCGCCGCCCGGAGAAACCCCCCTACTCTTACATAGCGCTGATAGTCATGGCTATCCAGAGCTCTCCCACCAAACGCCTGACGCTCAGTGAAATTTACCAGTTCCTCCAGAGCCGCTTCCCGTTTTTCAGAGGCTCCTACCAAGGATGGAAGAATTCCGTGCGTCACAACTTGTCCCTGAATGAGTGCTTCATAAAGCTGCCCAAGGGGCTCGGACGGCCCGGGAAGGGCCACTACTGGACTATCGACCCAGCCAGTGAGTTCATGTTCGAGGAGGGATCCTTCCGCAGGAGGCCGCGGGGCTTCAGGCGTAAATGCCAGGCGCTGAAGCCCAATGTACAGCATGATGAATGGCCTGGGATTCAACCACCTCCCCGAGTCCTATAACTTCCAGGGAAGCGGCGGGGGCCTGTCCTGTCCGCCCAACGGCTTGTCTCTGGACAGCGGGATTGGGATGATGAATGGACACTTGGCAGGCAACATGGAGGGGATGGGACTGGCCGGGCACTCCATGTCCCACTTATCGGCCAACAGTGGACATTCCTACATGGGGAGTTGCGCAGGATCCACGGGGAGCGAGTACCACCACGACAATTCAGGCTCGCCCCTCCTCACCAGCGGGGGAGTGATGGAGCCGCATCCCGTCTACTCAAGCTCGGCCTGGGCTCAAGCGCCTTCATCCTCTCTGAATAACGGAGGTTCTTACATCAAGCAGCAGCCACTGTCTCCCTGCAACCCCGGAGCGAACCCGCTGCAGCCCAGTTTACCCACGCACTCTCTAGACCAGTATAATCTTCATCAGAACGGACACAGTAACACGGACTTGCAAGGTAAACGAACATCTCCAAATGATTACGCATGCATTTTACAGTCAGTCATACCCAATAAAATGTGTGCGAAATAAACACTAGGCCTAGGCTATAGCCCACTAATTGCTTTGAACCAAATAAAAAACTTCTAAAGTAAATTATAAACGAGGTGAAGAAAAATATGAAAATATCTAGGCCTATGGAGCATTGCTTCGTAGAAGGCAGATACAATCTTAACAAACGAAGATTGCATATAGTAGGACTATAGCAATAATTTAAAGGTCTTTAGGCAGCCTTCGCCTACTGCAATCAGTGCAGTGGGCAAAGATATGGACTGAGCACTGGGCATGCTCAGTGCATTTGTTTTCACATAGGCCTACAACAACTCCAATATGCCACAGTTTTTTGCGGAAAATATTGGTAAAAATTATGGTTCTGTTATCTTGGAAATACGGAAATGGACGCAAGAAACCATCGTCTAATTATCTAGCAAGGAAGTTAAGTAATTCAGTTTCCTGTCCTCATTTAACTGGCCAAGGAGTGGGACAACTAACAAACCCTCACTCTGTTTTCCTAATAAATTCCTGGAGGTGGTTTCAGGAGGCACGCGGGTGGCACGTCTTCTGGGACATGTGTTTAGAATGGTGCCAATCTAAAGACAAGAACAACAAGCGCAAGCCCGAGCCAGCCAGCTCAAGCCCCGAGGCACACGGTCCTCCGGGATTCGCGTGCGAGCAGGCCACTGTCAATTAGTACTATCCCACCATCGAGCTCTCCAGACGGTTCTCAGCCCCAATCAGAGGGGTTTTCCCAAATTAAATGAACGATTGTCTACCCAAATAATACGATGCACAATATTACAATTCACCCTATAAATAACCAACTAGGCCAACATCAAAAAGCTCAGAAGTCACTTTTGAAAATAGGCCTATTATTTTTTAAACATTTTATTTCTATAGACAAAGGTAAATGTGTTTTATTATTATGGATAAGTTAGGGCTATATGCAATCCCCCAGTGGCAATACTAGTTTATTATCTTTCCTTTCCCAACAAATATGTATTTCTAACTAATTTGCTACCACCTTTTCTTTAAAACGCTGGCCTATATCCTTTTCGACTTGTGGTTCTTACTAGCCTATTCAAAAAGACATCCATACGGTTTTTGCCAATTGACAGCAACACACTCACATTGGGTTGGCATGCTATATGGCATAAGGTGATTCAAAATATGATTTACTCTTGTATCTGTTTTCTCAGGTATTCCACGGTACCATTCCCAGTCTCCCAGTATGTGTGACCGGAAGGAGTTCGTCTTCTCCTTCAACGCGATGACGTCCTCAACGATGCATTCGCCCAGCAGCAGCTCCTACTATCATCACCAACAGGTCGCCTACCAGGACATCAAGCCCTGCGTCATGTGACAGCACTTACAGTGAATAACGGACATCACTGACTTGAGCCACTAAAGCCAAAGCGGCTGCAGGGCTGAGACGAGCGAGCAACCCAAGGATAGAAGGCAGGCCCTGGAACGCGCTGTAAGAGAAGCAACAGTAACGCCAGAGAACCCATAAACTAAACTACTTTTCACACAAAAAAGGATTTGGTACAGAGACATAAATACGTGCGAAAGCAGATTTTGTTAAACTTCAATGTTGATCTCTCTCAGAAACCAAAAAGGGAGTGGAAATATCACAGAACAGCCTTGTGGTGTAGGCCTAAGCTGTGGGCTTTTTCAAGAAATGTCTGTGTGCCACACAAGAGGTAAAGCAGACACCGGTTGACACTCACCTCATGCATCTCAACCCCAGCTGCCGCTTGGTACTATAGCTCTGCGGGCGGATGACTACCACTTGAGAATATTTTACAATGTACAATTATGTGTATTATTTTTGTTATGCATTCAAAAGATATACTGCGGGGACATTTTCATTGCTCATTTATCCGGGTTAGGCTACTCGGCTCCATCGAAATGATAGTTAGATTTTTATTTTATTTTCTGAGAAGTTTGGACTAAGCTATTAGGCTACACCATGCATTGCATTTTTTAATTAACAACAATACATTATCTGAATTAAGGAAAGATTAAGGCACTTTTTTTGAATAGCAAAGCGCAACTTCTTATTTATTCTGTGCATATTTTTAATTGTACAATTATAGCCACAATCTGGAAGTATGCTTTATTGGCAATATTTGCCATGATGCGTTCTTATTTGTTTTAAAACGGAAATGGAAGATAAAGATGTAAGCACTGTTAGTTACATGTCTATTTAGGTGTATATATCCGTGTAGACACCCGTTATTTTTCAGCACTGTATAAATTGTACATGATGTTATGCTGAGTATTTGCATACTCGAGTGTCTTTAGATTAGTCTGTATATTACTACACACGATTTGTATAAAATTAAACGTATTGGCATGCAGTTTGTTTAACTGGCTGAAACACCTATACAATTATTTCTGTTTCCATTATTTTGACACTTCTCGAATGTTCTTTTTTTCCCTAGGTTAAAAAAATGTTTTTTTAGGGACAATTATACATGCTGATACAGTTCAGTCTATTCCACTGTGTGGTGCAACAGGAAGGCCTTTAAATCTTTTTGGGGTGTTCTATTTTAGTTGTCTTCAAACTATTCGTCATAACACAGCCCTTAATATTCAGATACTGGTAATCAACCAAATATTTTCATGTGAAAATAGGCCACACATATTTAGGAATTGATTGAGGTTTAGACAAGAATAGGCCTATAGGTGAACACTTCTAATTCATTAGTATAGGTTACATCCATTAGCCTATTGATGGTCATGTTAAAGGAGTTAGCTAACAACACAATAGCCTATGGTTGGATATAAAATAAGACAAATATCTGTTGGAGGTCGAAAACTCATGTCCAATGTGTAACTGTGTAATCGGAGTGTATGTTGCAATTAACCCGTAACAAATCAAAGCCAGCAGTTACGGGGGGGGGGGGGGGGGATTCGCCTCGGATTCGGTTTCAAAGAGAGGGAGGAAAACGCGTGGCCACCGCCGAGAACTATTTATCCTTCTCTTATAAAGGCACAACAGGCTCACAGACTGCCTTTTCTGAAATACGCCATTCTGGATGTGGGGTTGTTTTTACTGAAATGTAGTAGGCTGTAGTCAGTATAGCCATTGCTAAATAACATTTAAATTGGAGTTATTATTTTAATGTGTGGTTATGTATTTTTTCAACCTTGAGATTATGGGTTATTCTCACTGATAAAACATTACGTTATCTGGTTTGCAATTTTATTTTTTTAAGTATCCGAATACTTGTTGCTGTAGATGCTTGTAGGTCTACATTGCTAGAACTAGAACTAGTAAAGTAAAACATATATTCGAATGAAACAATACAACAAATGCTGCATTCACTATCAAAACGTTTTGACTGTAATATTGAAATACTGGCTGTTCAAATGTAATGTATTGAACCATTAGTGTAAGAAAAAAGATTTAGGACTACTCATATTCTAGAAGTAGCCCTATTATATCAGTGTCTGAAGAAATGCCTCCAATTGCAATGGAAAAATTTAATCACACAAATATTATATTCGGCATTTCAATAGTCACTTCAACTTGATGTTAGTGTTTTTATTATATTCAAGTAACCACTTTAGTTGCACTATAACCCGAAAGTTGATTGTAAAAGAAAAAGTTGTTTTTGCTACTTTGAGTATAACAATGAATTAAAACAATAGTTGTTACCTACAAGAACACATACAGTAATAACAAAACTTAAGTGTTTTCTAAGTCAAGTATTGAGCATATTCTCAGTGATATTCTCACATTGGGCCCCATGCCCTGCTGTGTATGCGTCTGTGTTATCTCACGAGGAGGTGACCACTTTCTGAACTCCAGCAAAATTCCCTTGTATGAGCAGAGCACACAGGGGCAGCAGGCCCAGTAGCTACACACTGCAGTGGAGGGACCACACATTAGCATGCTGATGACGTGAGCCGGGGCACAGCACCTCTGTGGGGCTGAGATTCCTGCTGGGGCTCCACAGCTGTTCAACGGCCTGGGCTGGATGACAGCTCCATAAAAAGCCTGCCTGGGGTCTGGTCTAGAGAAGCAGACATGCTATGTGCTCGTCCCTCAGCCTGAGTCTAAACTACTCTGAACTGTAGGACACCTCTCTGGCCAAGCCGAGCATTAGTACAGCAGCTATAAGTCACTGTGTTAGGCCCACCAGATGCACACAGGTCGTCACCAGGTTAGGGCGCTGCAGATAGAACAACCTCAAACTGTGGCCAAACTAGGTTCACATATCTAAGCCATCAGACAATGGGGGGGCCTGCCATAATGCCATAGTGTGTGTGTACCTGCTGGTTATACAACATCTCACTTCCAGAGGTACTGTATGTTTAGCAATAGATAGCCCCGTGAGGTTCGCACATCCAGTTTACTACGGCTGCTGCTGGTCTTTTTATCTCCTGCTCCCCACATACCACGCTCAGTCAGACTAATTGGACATGTCAGGCCCTCTGATAGGCTATACCATGTGTTATGCCATTAGCTACCCACTAGTGAGAGGAGCACTGGAAAACAGTCAAATTCTGCCATAATACATAAACAGGTCATATGAGAGGCTAGGACACTTGATGAAGGGTTAAACAAACACACCAGCTCACCATCCATCTTGGTATACTGTTTTCCTCATCTGTTTTAGCTTTAGGTTCATATTTTCCTCAGATTGTTTGTCAGTAGGATAACTTGCAACAATAGCAACACACAGTACTGACAGACTCCAGCAGTGCATGGTGTGTACACAGATCATCATCTGACAGTCATAGGTTGATCAGTCCTGGGTTTTGAGTTATAAAGAAGACAAAATGGTTCAAACTCGAACTCAAAGTATGGTTTATTTAGTACACAAAATATCCTGTGAATTCTGATGGCATTACATGTGGGGCATTAAACATTGCCTCTGCACAAAGAGACTAACAGGGAAAACTCCAACCTATCCTTCCTTTGTGACTGGCAGACAGGCCTGCCAGTGTGGATGAAACTTCTGTATAAGAACACTTCAAACGTAAATGGAGTTCGGTGTTATCAATAGCAACCCTAAAAATCATAACGACAAACCAAACTCTGCTTAAGGCATTAAACATATTTTCACACTTCATATTGGTACAGTGAAGGTAGCATCATTCCCTTCCATGAAACACAGCCTTTTATTTCTGCTGGCTTTGCTTCTGTTACGTAGATGAACAGAGAAGCAGGCAGTTACTCGTTATGGTTGAGCTCCTGCTTGGGGGAATCTGCCTCGGCTTCACTCATACTCTCTCTACTTTCTCTAGCTGTATTTTTGGGGCCTGTATTTGGTCTGGGCCTCCGGTTGCTTGGACCTGGCCTCCTGCCTCCCCTCTGGCTCTTGGCCAGCTCAGCCTGCAGATCGTGGCCGTTCAGGGAGAGCCCCTCCAGGGCGGCCAGGGCCTGGTCTGCAGCCTGTGGGTCCAAGTAGTCCAGGAAGGCCCGATGCTGAGCACCCTGCCAGGTGAGACGGATGGGGGCTGCCTCCCTCTCCCGGAGAGCAGTCTTCAGCTCGCTGACACGCAGCCCGGCAGGGATGCCCCCCAGGTACACTGTGGTCACGGTCAGGGGGGGCCTGCGCTCACGGGGCTCGCCATCTTCCTCCCTGACCCCATCCCTGTCCCCCTCTCTTCCCCTCCCCCCCTCCCGGCCTCCTCCTCTGCCTCTTCCCCTGCTTCCATCTCTGCCTTCACCTCTGCCCCCCTCACGGAAGCCCCCATTGCGGAATCCCCTGACCCTCCTACCCCCTTCTCTGCCTCCCTCCTGGCCTCCCTCCCCATCACCATCCCTACCCCCCTCTCTGTCCCCCTCCCGCCTCACTCTTGGTGGGCGTCGTCTGGGTTTCTGCTCAGTCTCCTCTCTGGACTCCCCATTGGGGTCCCTCTCAGAGTCCTCTTGGGTGTTCCGTCTAGGCCTGCGCCTGGGCTCACGTCGGGGTCTATCACCCTCTGACCTGGGCTCCCTGTCCCTCCGGGGCTCCCTCCTGGCCCTCTCCCTGGGCTCCGGGGGAGGGTGGGTCCCCAGGGTCACGTCCTTCCCTTGCTCCTCCTCCAAGGCCCGGAGCTTCTTCAGCACAGGGATCTTCTCCAGCATCTCAGCGTTCAGCTGCAGGTACACAACAGGACAGGCTCAGGACCACTAAGGTCATATCACAGCAGGGCTGCTCAAGGTCAGCAAAGGCACTGGGTTAAGGGAAGCCCAGCTCTGGGTCATGCCAAGAAGAATGGGGTTTAGTAAAGTCATGGGTTATAAACAGCATCAAGAAAGCTGCTGTTTGGTGCCTGCTCATGCAGTTGTAGGTGAACATGCAAATGTTCAGTGCATGCTAGATTGCCGATGAACTACACCAACACCCATGCATGACTAGACTACTCAACAAACCTCAAAGGGCACAACAACCAACACAACAGTACTCCATAACAACACATCCATGCTTACAGTACTATACAGTCCATGAATGCAGAGGAAACAGACTGACGGGGTCTTCAGGAGCACTGATAACCTCTCTGACCGTATCATCTTTATTGTGGGGGGATATTCCACTTCCCTGGAAAGCTATATAAAGACAGCTCTCTGATTTCCCAGGGCAGAGCGTGTCTGCTAAGGCTTTGATGGCGGCTGCTCCTGTACAGGATATAATGGGCTATTGTTTTTACTTTGGCCCCGGTGCCCTCTCTTTAACTGGGCCCAGCACAGCCAGGCTGGCCCGGTAGAGAGGCCTTTGATGATCAGACATGGCCTTCCTGTCTACGGGGTCAGCGTGGGTCCTCAGGACGGGCATGGCCGTCTTAAGGGACCCCAGAGGTAGTGTGTGCGCGTGTGTGTAATGGTTATACTTCTACGGCTAGGTGAGCAAACAAAGCTCAAGCAACACGGTTTGAGGTGCAGCCAAAAGTCACTGGAAAACTACAGAAGATGGGCGCAACTTTGGGCTCATTTTGAAAGCGGTTTTCTAGCTCAAATCATTGAGGTTTCAGCCATTCAGCAACACACAGCAACTAATAGCAGTCGTATTAGTAAAAGCAGCAGTTGTAGCTTGCAGCAACAGTAGTTAGAACAACTGCATAAGCAATGGAATGAATCATATTGAGCAACAGTAAAACGGGTGAGATTTAGTGTTGTACCTTAGTCCAGATGATGCCCTGTGGCTTGGGGCGTTGGCAGTCTGTCTTGATGACTCTGGTCGGGGTGAGGATGTAGTCCACAGTGAGGTCATGGCTCTCAATCAAATCCTCTGGGATGTCCAGCACCTGCATAAATTCACAGACATCAAGCACAGAAACATATTGCAAAATCATAGGAATCTGGAGCATGAAGCAACACTTATCCAGTTTAAGACCAAACACTGTGTGTGACTTCATGTTGTGGGATAACCAACAAGCTAACCTGGCAGTCATGGACGATGGTAACCACCACAGTAGATTCCGTCACAGCCCCCATGCAGAGCATCATGGCATACTCCATGTCCGCAAAGCCCTCTCCTTTACCTATCCGGTAACCTGAGGAGAAAAGAGAGATGAGATTAATCCTAACAGTATGCGTGTTGGTGCTGAGCTGGAACTTTCCTGGACCAGGGTAGGTGACCACAGCCCATAGAGGTCTTTTCTCTGGCTCTCACCTTTCTCAGACACGGCCACAGAGCCAACCACCAGAAGATCCACCTGAACCTTGGCATCCAGACCCACAGGGACACTGAACTCCTTCACTCCCTGCAGAGAAGAAAGAAAGAAAGAAAGAACGAAAGAACAGGTGCTCCAGATCACAAGAAACATTGGATTCAAAAACGTTTACATTTGAAACCCCACACACCAACTAGTCTTGGAACAAAGCATTTGGTCTTCTATGGTGGATTCACCAAGTTGTATAGTGAGAGGGACAGCATGTTCATGGGGATAATGAATGGGATGTGGTGAATGAAGGAGTTAAAATGAGATGGCTCAGTTGGTAGAGCATGGCGCATGCAACGCCAGGGTTGTGGGTTCGTTTCCCACGGGGGGCCAGTATGAAAAATGTATGCACTCACTAACTGTAAGTCGCTCTGGATAAGAGCGTTTGCTAAATGACTAAAATGTCAAATGTAATGTGCACAGGGGCTGGATGGAGAGGGATGGATAGTGCTGCGTAGGGGTGGGTGTTGGGTGAGAAGTAGTGCTGAGCGATTACTGCTTTTTGAGGTAATTTTTTTCAACATTAAATGCACTATGCATTATGTGGGTTGAATGCTGTAACACAGACTAAAACAACTAATAAAAGTCCCATGATGGTAGTGACTGCCCATGACTGCTTATCACTTATTAACCAGCAGTTTATCACATTACTTTAATAAAAATATTTCAGTTGTGTATATTACATTTGATGACTATTATTTCATTCCAAGTCATCATCCCATCTCTATGGAGCTGCTGCCTACGCTGTCTGACAAAATGACTATTTCAGTAGTTCTTCCAAGTAAATAAACCATACTTTATGACTGTTGAATAATACCTCACGAAGCAACTGCTCTCTATGTATTCCCTCTTGATCATGCATTCTTCTATCTCTTACGTAGCAGGCGTAAAAGAAACAGACCGGACAAGTAGCAGCACAATGGACTATGGTCATTGAATTTAATTATCAAGTTTTCTGCACTAAACTATTTAGGACATTGGTCTGTTGGAAACTACAACTCCCTACTACATCGCACAGTTAGGGTATGATCTGATTTATCTCTAGAGAAACTGCCACGCAATGTGCGTCTTGAGCTCACATAAAAAAAACATACAAAATGGAATTCAAATAATTGAACCGAAGTCAATTAGTTGTTTAAAAAACAAAAAAAGAACCGACATTTAATTGAATCGCTCAGCACTAGTGAGAAGGGACTGACTCACCTGGGAGGTGGAGCACACTCTCAGTTCTTCTTTACTTGCTCCCTCAGGCGGGACAATCTTATTGAAGAGTCCTGTGCGAAGGCGAGGGGTCGGCACCAGCAGGGTTTTCCTCGCCTAAAAGCAAGAGGCCAGAGTTTAGTAAGCTAAGAGAATATAACCATAGACAGATGAGCTAAGGGCGTCTAATACAAATAACCTAATTCCAGCACTCTATGGTTATGATCTGGTGATGGAGACTCAACACTACTGAACCAATGACCCAGGCTCATGGTGGCCTGTGACCCAGGGATACCTGCAGCACGGCCAGCCTCGCCCCCTCCAGCGGCTTGTCAGGGTCCACCTTCACCTCGTCAGTTTCATTGAATACCTGCAGCTCCGACACCTTGGCGCAGGCTGTGTGGGCACCCTGGGGGCAGAGAGGGGGAGAGGGGGTAAGGAGAGAGGATGTGAGGGCTCACTTACATCCAGGGTGATGTAGCGTGCCTGCTGCTGGGGTCGGTCCGGGTTTACTTTGACTATCTGGCTGGACTTGAACTCCTGCAGGGCTGAGAGACGGTCACAGGCCGGGACCGCACCCTGACCACACAGACAACCACACACAGCAAGACAAGCACGCACCCCCCCCCCCCCACACACACAAAGGGTTCAAAAGCATATGTACACCACTGTTAGCCTACTGGTAAAAAATAGGTTTTCCTAAAATAGAGATTTTACAACAGGTCAAAGACAAAAGTACTATGATAGCTACTAGCTTACAATATAATATAGCAAATAAGGTAGCTAGGCTAGCTATAGCCTGAAGACCCGAAGTTGAATTGCATAGAATTGTACTTCGGCAGAAATGAGCGTTTGGATCAGGAAAGTTTACTCTCACGACCTCTACATGCCAGAATGCTGAAAAAAATTATACTGGTTGTCTGTTTGGTTGGTTCTTTTGCAGGTAGGAATGTGAGACAAAACATCTACTGAGTAGCGTTATCAACCCGACCTTCCGTATGCTAGTCATCTGTATATCGTTTGTATTTCCTGTTTCTATTTTCAATACTGATGCAATTTGCACGTGACAAACACTTGCACAATATGGCCGAGCCTAACCGAACGACAAACACTTACAGCTAATTGTGAGGAAACGTGCATTGGTTGACTGAAGGTATGGCAAATAAATCTGGCAGCACAACCAATTGGCAAACGTACTGCAAATTGAGAAATTATGTGACTAAACTCAATAAAATAAGAAACTATACTATGAAACAAAGATAAATGATAAAAAGAATGATATCAAAAAGCTTTGGAGCACCTTAAATGACATTCTGGGAAAAAAGGCAAACTCAGCTCCATCATTCATTGAATCAGAAGGCTCATTCATCACAAAACCCACTGATATTGCCAACTACTTTAATGATTTTTCATTGGCAAAATTAGCAAACTTAGGCATGACATGCCAGTAACAAACACTGACACTACACATCCAAGTATAACTGACCAAATTATGAAAGACAAGCATTGTAATTTTGAATTCCGTAAAGTGAGTGTGGAAGTGGTGAAAAAATTATTGTTGTCTATCAACAATGACAAGCCACTGGGGTCTGACAACTTGGATGGAAAATTACTGAGGATAATAGCAGACAATATTGCCACATCTTCAATCTAAGCCTATTAGAAAGTGTGTGCCCTCAGGCCTGGAGGGAAGCAAAAGTCATTCATCTACCCAAGAATAGTAAAGCCCCCTTTACTGGCTCAAATAGCCAACCAATCAGCCTGTTACCAACCCTTACTAAACTTTTTGAAAAAATTGTGTTTGACCGGATACAATGCTATTTTACAGTAAACTAATTGACAACAGATTTTTAGCACGTTTATAGGGAATGACATTCAACAAGCACAGCACTTACACAAATGACTGATGATTGGCTGAGAGAAATTGATGATAAAAAGATTATGGTGGCTGTTTTGTTAGACTTCAGTGCGGCTTTTGACATTATCGAGCATAGTTTGCTGCTGGAAAAATGTACGTGTAATGACTTTACTCCCCCTGCTATATTGTGGATAAAGAGTTACCTGTCTAACAGATCACAGACGGTGTTCTTTAATGGAAGCCTCTCCAACATAATCCAGGTAGAATCAGGAATTCCCCAGGGCAGCTGTCTAGGCCCCTTACTTTTTTCAATCTTTACTAACGACATGCCACTAGCTTTGAGTAAAGCCAGTGTGTCTATGTACGCGGATGACTCAACAATATACACGTCAGCTACTACAGCGACTGAAATGACTGCAACACTTAACAAAGAGCTGCAGTTAGTTTCAGAATGGGTGGCAAGGAATACGTTAGTCCTAAATGTTTATTTTTTATTTATTTAACCTTTATTTAACTAGGCAAGTCAGTTAAGAACAAATTATTATTTACAATGATGGCCTACACCAGCCAAACCCGGACGATGCTGGGCCAATTGTGTGCTGCCCTATGGGACTCCCAATCACGGCCGGTTGTGATACAGCCTGGAATCGAACCAGGGGGTCTGTAGTGACGCCTCAAGCACTGAGATGCAGTGCCTTAGACCGCTGGGCCACTCGGGAGCATGTTTCAAAAACTAAAAGCTTTATATTTGGGACAAATGATTCACTAAACCCTAAACCTCAACCAAATATTGTAATGAATAATGTGGAAATTGAGCAAGTTGAGGTGACTTAACTGCTTGGAGTAACTCTGGATTGTAAACTGTCATGGTCAAAACATGTTGATACAACAGTTGCTAAGATGGGGAGAAGTTTGTCCATAATAAAGGGCTGCTCTACCTTCTTAACAACACTATCAAAAAGGCAGGTCCTACAGGCCCTAGTTTTGTCACACCTGGACTACTGTTCAGTCGTGTGGTCAGGTGCCACAAAGAGGGACTTGGGAAAATTACAATTGACTCAGAACAGGGCAGCACGGCTGGCCCTTAAATGTAGACGGAGAGTTAACATTAACAACATGCATGTCAATCTCTCATGGCTCAAAGTGGAGGAGAGATTGACTTCATCACTACTTGTTTTTGTAAAAAGTGTTGACAAGCTGAACGCACCGAGCTGTCTGTTTAAACTACTAGCACACAGCGTGGGACACCCATGCATACCCCAAAAGACATGCCACCAGAGGTCTCTTCACAATCCCCAAGTCCAGAGCAGACTATGGGAGGCGCACAGTCCTACATAGAGCCATGACTACATGGAACTCTATCCCACATCAGGTAACTGATGCAAGCTGCAGAATCTGATTAAAAAAACATTAAAATACACCTTATGAAACAGCGGGTACTGTGAAGAGACACACAGGTACAGATACGCATACACGCGCTAGCACACACACCTACATTGTAATATTGTTGTATGGTGGTATTATATATATATATATATATATATATATATATATATAGTGGTGTAATAATGTTTCATGATGTACTGTTTTATATTTTGTTTTATGTGTGATGCAAGTACCTTAATGTGTTTGGACCCCCGGAAAGGCAGCAGCTAATGGGGATCCCTAATAAATACAAATACATGTGGTAACATTCGGCTATTGTTTACATATTGTGTATCAAGTGCAATGTGTCAACAGATTGAAAATACAAGTAACAGAACCTACTGGCGACTGTTGATACCCTAGCTCCACCTCCTACAGCCAAAAGGACCAACAGCGTGTACAACCGGTAAAGTGTAAATATGATTTTATTCAACTTGACTTGTAGAGACTACTGAGTTTTTTTTTTTACAGCTTCTTCTTTCAAACTGATGTCATGGTGTAACCATGGTAACAGTCTGATGTTTAGGTAAGGCTAGCTAGCTACATTTATTAGTGCAGACCAGTGGCTGTGGAGAGTGCACAATAAACGTTTGACAATACTTTTCAAAATGGCTATATGGGACCAGCACATGCAAAATACAAATTTAAACTACACAGACAAACAAGAGGGTGCAAACTTATTAAGAGGGCTAGGTTTAGGAATAGTTCAATCAAAATGCAGTACACTGAACCTCCAGAAATGCCCTACCTTAAAATTGGGGATTCTGTTGTGCACAGGCCTTGGAAAGTTTGCAAGATTCTTAGCTTCAATGTAATCCCAAACTTTCTCTCGGATGTCCCATTTCGTGGCCCCTAAACAGAAAACAATTAACATGCTTGATGAAATGGCAGTTTTGAAGAAGGGGTAATGTAAATCGCAACTTCATTACGGCAACTGCTAGGCTACCATCCATTGGCATGCGTTAGCATTAGTGACTTTACGCCAAACACGCAGCAATCATTTACCGGGATTAATCGTAATAACGGCCTCCATTGTCCTCTCGTCGAAGATGCAGACAATTCTCACAAATCACTGACGATTAGTCAAACTATAACAAAGTAACCACAGTTTGATTTGCGCACGTGGGAGTTCTGTAACATTGTAGCAACAGCTGCTTGTCAGGGTTGTTTTTTTCTGTATGGTAGCTCGGTGAGACCAAACCTTACACCGTCAAAAGCAAACGTGGGGTGCATTCATTAAGCCAATTCTATTACAAAACGTTTCTTAAACGATAGCAACCACTACCAACGGGGGGGGACATACCTGAATTTGTCCAATAGAAACGCTCGTTTTAGAACTTTTGCAACTCTTTGGACAAACGATTGCAGCTGTCGATTCTCCGTTGACAAGTCGCACACTGCACACATTTATTTAGCCAATCAGCTAGGTGTAGTTCAATATTTTATTACTAAGCAGAAGGACAATCGTCAAATCAGTCACACACTTAATTATTTTATGGATCGTATGGCTTTAATGGACTTAATGGACATGTGATAAAACAGGCTACATGATAACAGTAATGTTACATAACAATTGATATATATAAAAAATAAAAAATAGAAGAGTAAACCATTACAGAAAATCTGGAATATTAAAATGGTCAGAATAAGATAACAAATAAGGAAAAGGCAAAAATGCAGTGTAACAGCATTATGCAAAGAAATACTCATATAACCTAATAGCAGACTGTTTGGCATCACTGGAGCGGAGGGCAACAACATGGACAGTCCTAGAACAGCATTTGACATAGTCAGTGGGGTAAAGTATTTCAGTAAAAATACTTGAAAGTACTACTTAAGTAGTTTTTTGGGGTATGTATACTTTACTTTACTATTTATATTTTTGACAACTTTTACTTTTACTTCACTACATTCCTAAAGAAAATAATGTACTTTTTACTCCATACATTTTCCCTGACACCCAAAAGTACTCTTTACCTTTTAATGCTTAGCAGGACATGAAAATGGTCCAATTCACGCACTTATCAAGAGAACACCCTGGTCATCCCTACTGCCTCTGATCTGGTGGACTCACTGAACACAGATGCTTCATTTGTATGATGTCTGAGTGTTGGAGTGTGCCCCTGGCTATCCGTCTGTTTTGCTTAATATAAGGAATTTGAAATTATTTATACTTTTACTTTTACTTTTGATACTTAAGTATATTTTAGCAATTACATTTACTTTTGATACTTAAGTATATTTAAAACCACATACTTTTAGACTTAAACTCAAGTAGTATTTTACTGGGGTGACTTTCACTTTTACTTGAGTCATTTTCTATGAAGGTATCTTTACTTTTACTCAAGTATGACAATTGAGTACTTTTTGCACTACTGGACACAGTGAACATTCATTTCTACAGGTCATTGTGTGTGTCTTTGTGTCCAGCAGTCTGCAGTATTTTGGGGAAGTCTTCTGTCCAGAACTGGGCTCTCTTCTTCTCTGAGACACTGCCCAGCCCGAGGTTGGCCTGGATCAGTAGACACTCTTCTTCTGTGGTGAATGTCGGCCAATCAAACATACTCTCTCCATTAGGGTTACTACAGGAACAGAGGGAGAGACAGAGGAGACAGACAACAACAACCCATTGGCATCATATGAGTGGGTGCACTTATAACTACTTACTTTTACATATGTACACTACTACTATGACCGAATGCAATTGGTGGTTGATCTCCTATTATGGACTATATTGAGTATCCACTATAAGTAGATGTATAAAGCATACTTGGTATACAGTAGTAAATATGTTTGCATACAGTAGGGAGTCTTAAACTGTCCTTTGTCTAATATGAACTGAGAAACTATGTTCTGTAACTTATTTAGAAATCAATGTATTCAGAGAAAACTCGGAACTTCTGGCGGAATGAAAACTTGATTACATCATGACAGAAATCTGGTTCTTGTTACATGTCATATCTGTGTTGAAGCTTCTCCAACTAAATACACCCAGAGAGAGAGAGCGACAGAGAGAAAGAGAGAGAGAGAGTATGAGAAAAAATAGGGGGAGAGAGACAGAGAGAAAGAGAGTGAGAAGAGATAAAGAAAGAAAGAGAGCGAGAAAGAGAAAGAGAACAAGGAAGGGATCTCTCACCCTGTTCTGGCAAAGTTAGTCCAGTATTTCATCATGGTCTTGCTAAGCTGTCGTTCCTCCTCTGTCGTGTTATCTATGAGTGGAAAACGTTTTTAGTTTCCATCGTTTCCAAGAAAAGCTGCAGAGATACAGGACAGGCTCAGCAGAATGATCTTGTCCAAAATATAATCTCTCTCAGTCTTTTGTCACTTAACAGTATTAACATCTGATTATGTTTATTTCACAGTAACTTATGACTCCTGTTATTGTTATCGACAGTTCCTCCAGAATTTGATATGAAAACAAGATTTTCAAATATATTTAGCCTACAATTACTCCAGAATAATAAACATTTTCTACCTAACATCACTATGTCATCCGTCCAAAAGGGGGCGCCAAACACAAAGCCAACCTCATCAAAGTGGTCTGCTTTAACAAAGCCTGGCCTGCTAGTATTGAACATGGAGGGGCGCTGCTGGAACTCATAGTAGTATATCAAGCAACCAGAATCTTGCATAGACAGAGAGAGAGATACATTACACTCATATCTGTGAATACCAACACAACATGTATGTCATCAACTACAACATGTCTCAATCATTTAGATATTAGTTAAAGTATGTCTTAAAATAATTTATTCATAATAATTATTAAATCATGTATTCCAGGAGGTTTCTAAAGAAAAATCAGGCATCTGATTGGTATAGTTCCCAGTGGATTCCTCACCTCTACACCCCCTGGCTCCCTGGATCCCTGGGATCACAATCAGTAGATCTCCCATAAGCTCCAAGAAGGCATCTCTGATCCCAACAGGGTCCTTCATGTCACCAAAGTACTCCTCTACGATGATCCCCAGGGCAGAGTCTGGCAGACGCTACCAGGGAGATACAACGTTTAAAAGACAGCTCATGGACCAGACTGCTAGATAATTATATTATAAAGCTGCCACCAGGGTTGGGGAGTAACTGATTACATGGAATCTGATTACAAAAAAACTGTAACAAGTGGATTTTTATTATAATATACTGTGTATATATATATACAGTACCAGTCAAAAGTTTGGACACACCTACTCATTCAAAGGTTTTTCTTGATTTTTACTATTTTCTACGTTGTAGAATAATAGTGAATACATCAAAACTACGAAATAACACATATGGAATCATGTAGTAACCAAAAAAGTGTTAAACTAATCAAAATATATTTTAGATTTTAGATTCTTCAAAGTAGCCACCCTTTGCCTTGATGACGGCTTTGCACACTCTTGGCATTCTCTCAACCAGCTTCATGAGGAATGCTTTTCCAACAGTCTTGAAGTAGTTCCCACATATGCTGAGCACTTGTTGGCTGCTTTTCCTTCACTCTACAGTCCAACTCATCCCAAATCATCTCAATTGGGTTGAGGTCGGGTGATTGTGGAGGCCAGGTCATCTGATGCAGCACTCCATCACTCTCCTTGGTCAAATAGCCCTTCCACAGCCTGGAGGTGTGTTTTGGGTCATTGTCCTGTTGAAAAACAAATGATAGTCCCACTAAGCACAAACCAGATGGGATGGTGTATCGCTGCAGAATGCTGTGGTAGCCATACTGGTTAAGTGTGCCTTGAATTCTAAATAAATCACAGACAGTGTCACCAGCAAAGCACCACCACACCTCCTCCACCATGCTTCATGGTGGGAACCACCCATGCGGAGATCATCCGTTCACCTACTCTGCGTCACACAAAGACATGGCGGTTGGAACCAAAAAATATCACATTTGGACTCATCAGACCAAAGGACAGATTTCCACCGGTCTAATGTCCATTGCTCGTGCTTCTTGGCCCAAGCAAGTCTCTTCTTCTTATTGGTGTCCTTTAGTAGTGGTATCTTTGCAGCAATTTGACAATGAAGGCCTGATTCATGCAGGCTCCTCTGAACAGTTGATGTTGAGATGTGTCTGTTACTTGAACTCTGTGAAGCATTTATTTGGGCTGCAATCTGAGGTGCAGTTAACTCTAATGAACCTATCCTCTGCAGCAGAGGTAACTCTGGGTCTTCCTTTCCTGTGGTGGTCCCCATGACCGTTTCATCATAGCGCTTGATGGTTTTTGCGACTGTACTTGAAGAAACTTTCAAAGTTCTTGAAACTTTCCGGATTGACTGACCTTCATGTCTTAAAGTAATGACGGACTGTCATTTCTCTTTGCTTATTTGAGCTGTTCTTGCCATAATATGGACTTGGTCTTTTACCAAATAGGGCTATCTTCTGTATACCACCCCTACCTTGTCACAACACAACTGGCTCAAACGCATTAAGAGGGAAAGAAATTCCAGAAATTAATTTTTAACAAGGCACACCTCTTAATTGAAATGCATTCCAGGTGACTACCTCATGAAACTGGTTGAGAGAATGCCAAGAGTGTGCAAAGCTGTCATCAAGGCAAAGGGTGGCTACTTGAAGAATCTCAAATATGTTTAACACTTTTTTGGTTACTACATGATTCCATATGTGTTATTTCATAGTTTTGATGTCTTCACGATTATTATTTAATGTAGAAAATAGTAAAAATAAGGAAAAACCCCGGAATGATTAGGCGTGTCCAAACCTTTGACTGGTACTGTATATATATGTTTTTATATATTTTATACATTTATCTAAAATAACATCATCACTACTGCATACAGAGCACAGGAGGCTGCTGAGGGGAGGACAACTCATAATAATGTCTGGAACGGAGCAAATGGAATGGCATCAAACACATGGAAAACGTGTTTGATGTATTGGATACCATTCCACCATTCCGCTCCAGCCATTACCACAAGCCCATCCTCCCCAATTGAAGTGCCACCAACTTCCTGTGATACATTGTGATATTGTTGGGGAAAGTTACTAATAAGATAATGAAAAGTAATTTCTCTGTCACACACACACAAACATCCAAGATGATCGAATTCAGATGGACTAGAAACACACACACACACACACAGGCCGACGCACACACACTACAGGCTCTCCTAGGCTGAACATGTAATGATTGTACTAATAATGACTTGTATTAAATGAGTAACTATTGACTGTGAGCTATGATAACCAACTAATTACCAGGCTTATGAGGCCTTAAGAACACATCCTTGTTTAAACTGTAATAACCAGCATAATACTAAAAATACTAACACTTAGTCACAAAAGCAACATATATGCTGAGACAGAAGAGCAAATTGGCTGAAATAGGCAGAAAGCAATATAAACGTGATGACAGATGATTAATATGCAATTCCCTGACACTGGTGGTTCTCAGTGAATGTATCTCTTCACATATATTTCCCAGAGCATACAGACTTGTTTTGTAGATAATTTAGAATACTCTATTTTTCCTTATCATGCAGCTGCAAGACTTGTCTTCGTCTTATTCAACAAATCCCATCCTTCAGCCTGCCTATTATCAGACAGCAAGATTGCTTTGTTTCTATGATACATTATATGTACAAACGCCATTCATATTTTGCATACAACCTACCCACCGTTCTATATTAACCAATCAAGTAGCAGTCTTGTGTGACAATCAAAGGAGGAACTCTCTAGGACCTCCTCTTAAATCTACAGGTTTATAATACTCTGTTATTTTCATCCCAGTGTGTATTTTCCTGCGTACATCATGGTACTAAAGAAGTTGAAGTGAAGTTCCGATTGTTCTTTCACCAGCAAAAATATTGTAATCAGATTACAGATACTTTTTAAAAGTGAGATGATTACTTCATGGATTACTTTTAAATTTAGAAAGAACGTTTGCGAAAAAAAATACATTATGACACCTTTCTGTTTTCTCAATGACATTCAATTCAGCATTGAAAAAAGGCGCAAGTTTAAGTTTGTTCCACCTGAGCGAGTCTGACTACAAGTCAGAGACCCCTATGATGTCAGAGACCACTATGATGTCAGAGACCACTATGATGTCAGAGACCACTATGACGACACCAAATGTGTTTGATGGATCCTTTTCGTCTTCTTCTAATGCCTCTTAAGGAGAAAGTAATCAAAAAGCAACTGAAAGTAATCCAATTACGTTACTGAGTTTGGGCAATCCAAAAGTTATGTTACTGATTACAATTTTGGACAGGTAACTAATTTAGTAACTCTAACGGATTACATTTAGAAAGTAACCTACCCAACCCTGTCTGCCACCATACTTTACTAACCACTTTCTGAAGCATTAATGCCAGGATCATCATCATGTTTTCACGGGTCATTCCAAGATCCCATCCAGGAAATAGGAAAAACTGGTGGAACACACAACAAGGTTTGTGAAAAACAATGATAAAAGTACATTTACCTGTAAAATATATGACAGATAGTTTTCATATCTTCATGCAGGGACATACATACATGTGGGAGCATCCATCCATACTCATGGTTGTTGATCCCTATGATGCTGGGGAAGCCCAGGAAGCTCTTGGTCTGCAGGACTTCCTCCAGGTTGGTAGGGATGACTGTCCCATCCCTGTGCACAGACAGAACCATCTCCCCCTGTGGAGAGAGAGGATGGACCCCAGAATGGAAGTCACAAACAACAGCCATGTTGTTGCATTCAACAGCGCCATACAGTATAAGTTAGTTAAAGCAACAGCCTGGCATTCAGATACATACATCCCACATACTGTAGGGTGAGTGTGAGGCTCAGACCAAACCTACCAGTGCAGGTGTAGCAGCCTCTATGTCCTGTTGGCTGAGGGTACTGAGGCAGGTCATGAGCTCTGCAGAGTCATCACTGGGACAGCCTGCTCTCTGTGCCACCAGCTGGAGGAGGGAGAGATTGAAACCAGAGCATTTGAATTACAACACGTTACATTGTCATAAGACCACTGAAGGTTTTACCAGTTATTATATTGTATATGAACCAAAGTATGGGATGCTTGAGACATGCTGCTATGATCAGCACACAGTGAAACAGCAGACCACCTGTGCAGCAGGTTTGGGGTCATCCTGGATGAAGACAGGGATGAGGGGTATTCCACTCTGACTGATGGCCTTGTGGAACAGTCCTGATGACAGAGGGGACATCATCTGGACAGACAGAACAATGAATCAGTGCCCAAGGTAAGCCTACATACAGACAGCCAGTGCATATTTCTGTATCAGCAAGTATCTGTTTTCCTAGATATACAGTACACACATGTAAAAAGACGGCGACACCACCAGCAGACTCTCCGAAAATGGTGACAGATCCTGGGTCTCCACCGAAGCTGCTGATGGTCTCCTGCACCCAGCGCATGGCACACACCTGGTCCAGAATACCCACATTCCCAGGGTACTGGCCATCCCCAGTACTGGACAGTCAAGCAGATATGAGATCAGATATGCCAGGGTTGTGTTCAGTAGACACCAAACAAGAGAAAATGTTACTCACCCAAATTTGTGCATTGATCATATTGACCAAATGCAGTACCAATAGAAGTGTACCTGAGGAACCCTGGGATACCCAGACGGTATTGGAGGATGACCACCACAACGTCCCCGAAGGCAGCCAATGAGGAGCCATCATAGAGTGAAGCCCCTCCCATGAGGAAGCCTCCACCATGGATCCAAATCATCACCTGCAGATATACTTTTTTAGACTAGACCACCAAACCAAAGACATGTATGCTTGTCTACTCTGAGGTAGATATGGGTACATTCTCATGTCTCTCCTCACTGGTAGTTTCCTTGGGTCTCCAGGTTTGACTGGTGTGTAGATGTTCAGGTAAAGGCAGTCCTCTGAGGTGGTAAGGACAGGGAACCGACCTCCGTACAGGTTCCCCATCTGTCTAGTGTGGTTCATGTTCTGCAGACACCTATGTGTTAAGAGGACAAGAGAGGTGACATCATCTTATACTATCAATAAAAACATGATTGGCAGAATGTTAATGTTTATCAGAATAAGCATGATTCAGAGTTCCCTATAAGACAGTGTAGGCTGTTTATCTGTCTGTCTCCCTGCCTGCCTGTCTCTCTCTAACAAATTACTGTTTAGGCTCATACAGAGGGGGGTAGGCCTTGGCGTCTCTCAGTCCCTGCCACACCCGAGGAGGCTGGGGGGCCTGGAACCTCAGGGGCCCGACAGGGGGCTCAGCGAAGGGGATCCCCAGATAGGCAGCCACATTCTTCTGGCTCTCTCTCACTCTGACCAGCCTGCCCTCCAGCAGACCATAACTAGTATGAAGCTGGAAGAGGCTCTCTCTGTCCCCTGGAAAATATTGAGATGTTATAGAAAAGGCATTGTAGTAGTCTGTCAACTGATGCATTAATTGGGAAAGGCGTGATTTACAACCATTTACAAGCATACCAAACTATAAAAAGTATATATAACTTCTTGTTTACAGCTAATCAATGTATTTCGTAGTTGCTAAGAAGTTAATTAAACAGGACATACATTCTTACCTGCGACCGTATGGAAACTCACAAACAGGCTCAGACTTATCCATGTGAGCAGGACTCTTCTGATATAATAATATAATATGCCATTTAGCAGACGCTTTTATCCAAAGCGACTTACAGTCATGCGTGCATACATTTTTTTTTTTTTTTTTGTGTATGGGTGGTCCCGGGGATCGAACCCACTACCTTGGCGTTACAAGCGCCGTGCTCTACCAGCTGAGCTACAGAGGACCTTCTGCCCTGACCTATCATAGTGGTGCCAGAGAGATTCTCCATTCACATCTGTAGAATATCAAACCACATGAAGATCTATTTCAGCAGTCGCCGATTTACATAATCTCTATACATTAATGCAAATTGCCTCCATATCCAGTGGGTAACCAAATATCAATACATCTGAGCGAAAAGTATGCCCTCCAGCAAATGGAATACGAACCGTATGGAGCTCCAATTCAGTTAAATGCCTTCAGTAGATCTGTGGGAGACTGAGGATTGAGCTGCTCTTTGTATCACAGGCTGGCATTGGAAACTCCAATAAAACCTGTTATGGATTTTCTAAAAAGCCAGTCGAGTTGATTCAGTCGCAATCTAATGTCAAACAGCAGTTTGAAAGGGGGGAGTCCTCTGAAAGAACATCCTGGTTCGTTTTAATCTGATATTGCTGCCTGGACATGCACTTTGAAATTAGACGTCATGCTACCAACTCCACCTGTTTATCTTGGGTCTACTTTTCTGCCAAGTTCAGAGTGTGCAGAACATCAATAATTATATGATATCAGGCAATCAACTATGAATAAATTAAGTACAGTTTTTACATGAATTTTTCAAACTTTTTAATTTCAATAGCTCCTTGGTCATGTGACCTACTGACCTCAAACAAGGTTCAGAATGTACACTCAGTGGGCCTACACATTGCACACCCTTTAGTTTGTCCATTTTAATCTCCACAGGATTTTTTAAACGTTTTTAATTTCAATAGTTCCCTGGTCATGTGACCTACCACCCTAAAACATGCTCAGATTGTCCACTCACTCTGCCTTCATATCGCACACTGTTGGGTTCTATTTTTCTCATAATTGGATCTGTATGTGATGAATAACTTAGAAGGAATGCATTAATGATAAGCATAGGTTTGTACTATACTGATATAAATTGTTTCACATAACAGGCTGTGATTCATGTAAGGAACGTGGTAGGTCAGATAAGACTTGTATTTCTTACAGATACGAACACTCTCTCTTTGTTGTCTGTGAAACCGTCCTTGAACGTAGGTACATAGAGTACAGATTGGGTGCTGACTCTACAGGTTATTATGATAGCAACTTATGCCTGGGAACGGTGGAGCGCCAAGGGGTGGAGCGCCAAGGGATTGGGACTAACCAGTGCGCCAACGGATTGGCTGAGTAAAGTCTAAACCACACTCAGTCCTTTACTCTGATTGGCCAACAGAAGAGGTGGGAACTCTCTGTCAGAGTATTTGAGAAAGAACCTGTAAACAATGGTTTAGTTCTCTGAGTGCCCTGCGTGGTATTTCAGTGGACCCGTATATACGAACCTTCATACTTATCATACATACATTTTGCATATAATAAATTAAGCTTGTATTGAAGATCTCTTGATTCTTATTCCAATACCAGATTTGAATTACGCAATTTCTAACAACACTCTGTTGTTTGTCTACTTTCATCTCACGCTATTAGACTTAAATCTGTAAGCCTGAGACCAAGTAGGTGTGAACATTGCTGCACAGTGGACACCCACACTCAGAAGTATTATTCTCCTGTAAATGGTTCAGTGCCTATAATTTAGGCTGTGTGTAGAATGGGGCATCAAGGAAATTACCTCTACTAGATTATGCTGATCAGGAAAACAGCATACAGTTTTGGCCTGTGTATTCATTTGCCTATAACTAATCAGAATTCCAATATGTTTACATAAAAAGAGAATACTTAAAAATGAGAAGATCCTGCCATGGAAAAAACGACTCGGTGGACATAAAGTGGAAAGGAGGGGAAATAAGTCACTGTCACGAATTCAGCCAAGGCTGCCCCTCCTCCTTGCTTGGGCAGGTTTCGGCGTTCGTCGTCACCGGCTTACTAGCCACTACCGCTCCATTTATCATCACTCCATTTGTCTTGTCTTGTCTTGTCTTGTCAATCACACACACCTGGTACTCATTCCCTCATTAGTCTGTGTATAAGTGTTCCCTCTGCCCCCTTGTCCTTTGTGAGTGATTGTTCGTTGTGAGAGTGAGTAGCTTGGTTGAGCTACTCTTTACTTGTATGCAGCCAAGGTTGATTGTCCCTTGTGCTAGTTTCGTTCTGTCGCTATATGCGCTACATTATTGTACACTGAATAAACTCTTGATTTCGGTGTTTTACCTCCTGCGCCTGACTCCGTCATTCACACCTCATCACACTCACACCATGCAGCAGGACACCTTCAGCTGCGGGGTCTTTGTAATGCAGGTTTGATAGTTATATTTTCAATAATGAATGGTTAGCTGTTATGTGACAATTAGGTCAAAAATTCTATTTTATTTTTTGGTGTAGATGGCCAAGGAAGTTGCACAGAACTTCCCCAACATCCCCTCCCAAATGGATATAGAACCTTCACAAAAACACATGGAGCAACTGCGAAAAGAAATGGCTGAGGATAAACTAAAAATGTCTGGTATGTAATGAAATTTCATTCAAAGTAAATGTCAATTCTTTATTTTTATGTAGTTGTGTGGGACAACCATATGTTCAGTTCATGCCTATGATTTCAGAGTTCAACAAAGCCAACAACTGCTTCTTGTGTGCCACTGATAAAGAACCTGGATGTGGCCCAAAGACTGACAGGGTTAGTAACTTTATTTAACATGTTTATAATCTTTTGACAACAGTGACGGCATGTAAGACAATTTATGATATAACACAATGGATGGCAAATTTGTCATACTGCATTGATATTGTCACGATCGTCAGGGAGAGACCAATGCGCAGCGTGTTGAACGAACATACTTTAATTAGTTAAAGTGTACACAATACAAAACAAGAAACAACTCGTGAAGTCCACGGTATCAATGACCGAACACGGAACAAGAACCCACAAACACAAAGGGAAAACAGACAGTTTAAATATGGCTCCCAATCAGAGACAACCAGCCAACAGCTGACACTCGTTGCCTCTGATTGGGAGTCACTCAGGCCAACATAGAAATACACAACCTAGAACTCCCAACATAGAAACAGAACACATAGAATGAACACACCCTGGCTCAACATATAGAGTCCCAGAGCCAGGGTGTGACAGATATTTGATATTATTTATAACATGTTATGCTTTGTTCTGTTTTAGATTGAATGTTTTGCATGCCAACGGTGGTTCCATGTGCTGTGCTTAGGGATGAATACAAAAGAGTTCAACAGAGTGAAGAACACAAACTGGAAGTGCTGTCTTTGTTGTTGAAAATGTATGCTATACCCCATCCACACTGAAGAGGAGCTGAAATGTACATCAACCAGGGATAAAGAGAAAGTTAACACTGTGAAATGTTTTGTACTTATTTGAAGTAAAGTGTCTGACATGTTGGAAAAGATTAAAGGTCTACAATTTCTGTTTAATTTGTCAATATTCAATTTTAATTCATTGATTAACTGGCAACCATTATTGTGGTTACATGCAGTGGTGGAGAAAGTACCCAATTGTCAAAAATTAGATTTGTCACTATGTTGATGGTCCTAACTGCTGTTGGTGGACGTAAGGAAAACTACAGGCGAATATCCGTTGAATATCCAACCTGAATCTGTCTTTACCTCGGTGACTAGAGGCAGCTACTTCAAATAATTTTCTAAATAAAATAAGTATCTTGGCTTCACTGGTTGAAAGCTGCTCTCCAGTTGATAACTCGGTGCAATATCATGGATTGACATTATTAGTCTGTTTAGAAATGCCATAATTTGACAGTCTTTCAATACGAAGGAACCAGAAATAACAGTTTTAGGCTACCGGAATTCTGTGCAGTTTGGTTGTTTTCAGTAAAAAATAAAATGCGCCTGCCCAATGTGTCTACTAGAGACAACCTGTTCCTGCACCCAGATGCAGTTACTATGAAGGTAGGAAAGACTGAGGCAGTTGTGCTGAATGCCGACAAAGGCAAAAAAGGCAGAGGCAGCCTCAGTCTCAGGCTAGCAGGCTCGTGTAAAATGGATGTCTCTATTCCATTTAAGTAAATCAAGCTGCAGTCCACAACAGAAAAACACACCCACCACAAAACTTCTACCCCCAAGCTATGAGACTGCTAAATAGTTAACCAAATAGCTACCCGGACCTTCTGCATTGACCCCTTTTTGCACTAACTCTTTTGACTCATCATATATGCTGCTGCTACTGCTTATTATCTATCCTGTTACCTATATGTACATATCTACTTCACTTACCTTGTACCCCTGCACATATTTATGTATTTTTTATTCAACCTTTATTTTATTAGGGAGTCATACTGCGACCAAGGTCTCTTTTACAGATGAGCCCTGAATTACATAAATTAAAGAAAATACACACATCAAAATACACTGCTCAAAAAAATTAAGGGAACACTAAAATAACACATCCTAGATCTGAATGAATGAAATCATCTTATTAAATACTTTTTTCTTTACATAGTTGAATGTGCTGACAACAAAATCACACAAAAATGATCAATGGAAATCAAATTTATCAACCCATGGAGGTCTGGATTTGGAGTCACCCTCAAAATTAAAGTGGAAAACCACACTACAGGCTGATCCAACTTTGATGTAATGTCCTTAAAACAAGTCAAAATGAGGCTCAGTAGTGTGTGTGGCCTCCACGTGCCTGTATGACCTCCCTACAACGCCTGGGCATGCTCCTGATGAGGTTGCGGATGGTCTCCTGAGGGATCTCCTCCCAGACCTGGACTAAAGCATCCGCCAACTCCTGGACAGTCTGTGGTGCAACGTGGCGTTGGTGGATGGAGCGAGACATGATGTCCCAGATGTGCTCAATTGGATTCAGGTCTGGGGAACGGGCGGGCCAGTCCATAGCATCAATGCCTTCCTCTTGCAGGAACTGCTGACACACTCCAGCCACATGAGGTCTAGCATTGTCTTGCATTAGGAGGAACCCAGGGCCAATCGCACCAACATATGGTCTCACAAGGGGTCTGAGGATCTCATCTCGGTACCTAATGGCAGTCAGGCTACCTCTGGCGAGCACATGGAGGGCTGTGCGGCCCCCAAAGAAATGCCACCCCACACCATGACTGACCCACCGCCAAACCGGTCATGCTGGAGGATGTTGCAGGCAGCAGAACGTTCTCCACGGCGTCTCCAGACTCTGTCACGTCTGTCACATGTGCTCAGTGTGAACCTGCTTTCATCTGTGAAGAGCACAGGGCGCCAGTGGCGAATTTGCCAATCTTGGTGTTCTCTGGCAAATGCCAAACGTCCTGCACGGTGTTGGGCTGTAAGCACAACCCCCACCTGTGGACGTTGGGCCCTCATACCACCCTCATGGAGTCTGTTTCTGACCGTTTGAGCAGACACATGCACATTTGTGGCCTGCTGGAGGTCATTTTGCAGGGCTCTGGCAGTGCTCCTCCTGCTCCTC